AAAAAAAAAAAAAAGACATGGAATGCTAACTTTTTATTTTTCATAATTTTTATCACTATTTTTGTGAATTTTGACTTCAAACCTAACACTCATTTCTGAAGTGATATTTTGAAGGACTATTTTCACATTTTTGCTTAGTACTTTACTTTCTCTCTTGTTTAGTAAATACTGATCTATTAATTTTCACAACAACAATATGACCATAATTCAGTAATAATTTTCTGTAACAAGAAAAATGATGCTTAAAATGATTCTCCACCTTACCCAAGGTATTTGAGTACTTTAAAATGGAAGAGGCAGGAGTTGACTTCAAACTGTTTCCTCACTAATTCTTCTACCAAGGAAGGGAATTCTTTAATTACCAAACACATTTTTATTTTGTTTTCATTTATAAGTCTATGACAATACTAAACAACAACCACAATACACCCAACTAGTAACAGAGTAATGATAGCCCATGTGCCTTGGATTCCAATCATTATTAAATTTAAAGGTGCCTTTTTACAAAATTAAGCATAGTTTTACATTAAACTTTGTTTAATCTGAAAAATTTTGAAAGTAGAAACATTTGTTTATACATTTTGTTTTTAAAAATCTGGAAGTTGGTTTCCATTTTTTAAGTTAGGTTATACCTGGAGGCTCTCTAATCCATTAGTAACAAAGTTGCTGGTGAATATTTCAAAATATTATACTGCCTCGGACGCACAAAGTCCTGAGTTCAACCCCCAGTACCAAAAAACAAAAACAAAACAAAACAAAACAAAACAAATATATATATATATAAAATATAACATTTCAGGTCAGATTCGTAGTTTCCTGATCATAAATGACTGGTCTAAGATCAGCCACATGCTTACACCGAACAACACCAAATACCAACAACAGTTCAGTATTACTGCACTTTCCATGGTAGAAACTCTTGCAAGTTTGTACAAGTGTAAAAGAGATATGGTGAGGCACACCTATAATGTCAGCACTCTGGGAGGCTGATGCAGGAGGCTAACAAGTTCCAGCCCAGCCTGGGCAATTTATGAATTTAGCACGGCCGTCTCAAAATAAAAAACATTAAAAAGGGCCGGGGATATAGCTCAGTACAAAGGCCCTGCGTTCAGTTCCCAGGAACACACACACACACACACACACACCTACCTTTGTAAGCCTATCATGTATCATTATGTTAAACTCTGAGGGTCTTAACAATTCACAGCAACATTTCCAAAACATACTATCATCTCTGAAGTATTTAAATGCCACCTCTAGACAAAACAGGTAATATATTTTCACAACTACCAGAATTTCTGTACAAATCACATCTAAAAGCACCCCCTTGGAAGTAACTAAGATGCTCTATTCTAATAAGGCACACACTTAAAATAATCTGGAAACAAAATTTTTAAATCTAAGGCTAACTAAAATCACCAAAGGGAGGGGCTGGGTCAAGCAGATGCGTGGCAACCCTGGGTTGGTCCCCAACGCCCCATCAAAAAAACAAATAAATCGAATGTGAAGGTGGTAAGTGTTGCCTACAGTTAATGACTAAGTCTATCGATTTGGAAAATCTGTGCACAGGTCTCAGAGGAAGCACTGTAACTGGAAATAACAAATTCCACTACAGAAAGTCACGGCTAGTTTCCACTAACCGCACCTACTCTGTGTACTGCTGCGAAGGTGGCAGCCGAAAGCCTTGATACTCAGTAACATTCAGGAAAATGCCAAGAATGAATCCTGCAGAGTGTCCTGGCATCATTAAAAAAGATTCAGATTAGGGCCGGGAATTTAGCTCAGAGGTTTCCCCGCCTGCTGTGCAAGCGCAAGGACCCGAGTTCGATCCCCAGTACCAACAACCCCCCCCCCCAAAACAAAAAACCCAAGATTCAGATTAGCTTCAAATCGGGCATGTGTGCCCAAGCGCTGACTACCAAATTACCCTGTAAGGACACCTTCCGTCCCGGAAAACGTGCAAAACCCGGCTGCGGCTTCTGGGAGCCTCTGCCTCGCGCCCGGTGTAAACCTCACAACCGCCAGGGGCACGGATCGGATCGGGGCTCGGCCGGGAGGGGCGCGTGAAACTTTTAATCCAGCGACCACACAGCCTTCGGATCCGGGCGGCCGCCGCCACGCGGGATGTGAACAACTCAGAAACACCCGAGCCCCTAAAAACTGCGGCGTGGGGCGACCGCAGCCCGTCACCCCGGGCGACCCCGCGACCCCTGGGAACAATGAGCTCCGC